TATGTGCACAAATTATTGAAAGCAGCAGGCTAGTCTAAGAAAGCAGTTAACTGAGCTTTTGAGATTTTGGACATTACAAATGGGGACAAAGAGTCCAAAAATAAGGAAGTTATAATAAACATATATAAACCAATGACTTGGCCTCCACTAGTGTACTGAGTCCAGTTCTGGGCACCAGTTTTCAGGATGGCATGGTGGCTCAATGGTTAGCACTGCTGCCTCACAGCGCCAGGGGCCTGGGTTCGATTCCACCCTTGGGCGACTGTCTGTGTGGAGTTTGCACATTTTCCCCGTGTTTGCGTGGGTTCACTCTGGTTTCCTCCCACAGTCCAAAGATGTGCTGGCTAGGTGGATTGCCCATGCTGGTGGTGCTACTATGTTACTCTGTTGTTTCATCAAAGAACAGTGATCACCATATCATAAAGTTAATGATGACTGTAGAAAATCAGAGTAAGATCAATTAACTAGGAGATAGCTGACTTCAATGGGGCAAGGAAGAGCTAGGCCAGATAGACTGAATCAAAAGGTTGGCAGGAAATCTGAAAAGCAGGGCTAGTTTCAAATAACAAATGGTTCACGCATAGTCAACGTATATTCCCTCACAAAGAAAAGGTAGGGCAAACAATTCCACAGTTCCCAAATGAAGAAGGGGATAGAAATTAAATTAAAGAAGAAAGCAGGCTTCTGGCAGTTACCAGGTAGCAAATGCAATTGACAGCAGAGAAGCACACAAAGGTTAATAGGGGAGGAGAGAAAGCATACTGGAGCAGCAAGGAGGAATTATGAGAAAAGACTGACAGCCAACATAAAAGGAAATCCCAAAATCTTGCAAAGGCAATAAAGATTAGATGGCAGATGGGATTAGGTAAAAATGGCAGCATGTTCGGTCAGATATGGTGGGCTGAAGGGCCTGCTCCTGCGCTATGCTGTACTGTTCTGTATTCAAACGTGAAATGGTGGTAAAAGGAGGTGTAGTGCCTATTAGCGACTAAACAGGGAATTTACACATGGAGACACAGGACAACAGTGGGTATTAAATGAATACTTTGCATCTATCTTTACCAAGGAGATGGATTCAAACTGGTCTTAGTGACAGAGGAGGAAATTCAAGTCACTAAGAATTGATAAGGAAACTGTTTTGAGCAATGCTCAGTACTTAAGTTAACATGGCTCCAGGACCAGAGGATGTCCACCCAAAGATACTGCAGGAAGTGAAATTGGAGATTGCGGGGGCACTGTTCATAAACTTTCAGTCAGGACTGGAGCCAGGGGAGGTGCCAAAGAACTGGAGAATTGCAAACACTGCAGGCTGAATCCTACTGTTTTTTTGGCCAAGTCCAAGTTGCATTCAGTAATTTGGAAGGATTTCTGCTGTGAAGCCTTGAGAGTTTTCTCACTGTATCTTACCAAAGTCACCTAATTAACAACTAACAACACACCTATGGCATCTGTCACATCCATTTCTGGCCCCATTTTACCACAGTTCCCAGAACAACTCACCTTTCAACAGATATTCACTGAGTAACTGAAATCCCTTGCACCCATGCCATCTGTGAAAGGCTGCTGTGCACCTGGACAAGCTTTGGCAATCAGCGTTACCCCTCACTGGCAACATCATGGCACAGCAACCAGAAAGCCACGCTGCTCATGGCATATAGCTAGCGTGGTTAATGCACCCTCGCACAAACAACCACATTCTCTCACCATAGTTGTTGTTTAACCACCAGTCCACACACGTTAATTGTCCTTCGATACGTCCCATCTGAAAATCTTTTAAGTCTGTGCTACCCCAGTGCCCAGTGGAGAGTCGCAGCTAGTCAATGTCCATACAGACAAATGCTTTTATTTCCAAACAACAGAGCAAACAAAAACAAAACCAGTAGAGGTGGGCTTTCACCATATCATTGCAAAGCAGAATACACATTACACGTAATCAATATTTTACAGTCCATGATAACCATCTGTTGGAAGCTGGTCTGTATGAGGACCTGTCTAGCTTATGGTGCCCATCCCAGCTGAGCTCTGTTATAGACAATGACAATTTCCTCCTCCCCAGTGTCTTCCTCCTTCTTGGTATACTGACTTTGTCCACCCCAGTCCAACACAGCACTTCCACACCAAATGTACAGAGCACAGCATACCAGGATGAAGCTGCACACTCTGTCTAGACTATACTAGAGGGCCTTGCCCTAGACTAGTCCAAGCGCAGACTTCACAAGCCCCATTGTCTGTTCCACCATGGCCCCTCATTGAGGACTGGGCAACAGTGTATCTGAACTTCACATCAGTCAAGACATTGTACAATGGTGTCAGGAGCCAAGGTCACTGTGGGTATCCCTTGTCCCTCGGTAACTAGCCTTGTAAGGCCCCAGACCCTCAAACTCACCAGGTATACAAGAGTGCTCCAGGATATATGAGTCATGGCACACACCTCCAAAAAGTGATAATGATGCTCACAGATCTCCTGAACATTAATGAAATAAAATCACTTCCTATTGATTAATTCTGCAGCATTGTAATATGACCCTCTCAGTGTGTGTACAGTTGATGTCACTGTTCATTGGAGGAAATGAGCTTGGTTTCCGACTCCTAGTGGCAAAGTGGCATCAGTCACTGTCCTGATGTATTTGTGATGCATGATTGAGCTCCCACACAGGTCTCCCATCAGTCCCCGGAGGTTCAGAGTAGCTTTAACCTTCACAGCCACTGGGAGAGGAGGCCTGACACTCCTTCAGCCCTCAGGACCCACACCAAGATTCGACATAGTTCAGTCAGTATCCTCGAGGGTACAGAGCTTAAATCAACACTGTGTCTTATCGGGAAATGGAGTGGGGGCTGAAAACTGCTAGCAATCCTGCATACCCCACGCACCCTGAGCCCCACCTCAGTGGTTTGCTGCTGCTCCTGGGCTTGTCATCAGCTCTGATCCTGATTTATCTTCTTAGGGAATCAGCCACAGTTACCACTAGTGGTGAGACCCATTACTCTCAGTGGAAATTAACTAAAATGGGAAGAGAAGGAGAGAAAGGGTGTATTTTTTAATCTCAGAACAATCATTAATGACATTACCTGAAGATGAAGGTTGAGCACATTCCTCCACACAGTCAGATATGCTTCACGTTAACGATGAGGGACATGTTCCCACCATCCACCTTAATTCAGGCTTAGCATGTGCAGAAATTTAGTGATTGTCATCAATAAGTGAATGCATTCTGTGCCCCTCTAGCCTTCCAACCAGGCCACATTAAAAGTTTAACTTATCACTGCATTCAGCATAGAACATTATTATATGACAGGTGATGGAGCGATGTTGTGTGGCTCACAAGTTGCACAAGAAACAGTTCACCTTCAACCAGCACTGGTCTTTTGTCAGATAATCGCCACTAACTTCACCACAATTGGGATGACCAAGTTCAATTCAATTGTGTACTCATTCAAGTTAGTCAGATACAAATATGCATTTAACAAATCCATACTGACTGTTGCTTATTAACACTTCTTTCCAAAATCAACCATGACGCCTGTCTGAACCCATCCTCCCACCAGGACATTCTGCACTGGTTTAGGGGTATCTTTTATCCTTGTGTCAAGGAGTCAAGACCATCAACCAGCTGCAGAAATACCCATCTCTCCTTTGGAAATCCCCTGCAATAACAACATGTCCACATTTTGCCATTCCTTGCCCATGTAGCCATTTGGTACAGCTAAGAAGCACCACACTTGTCGAGGGTTCCTGAGGCACTTGTATCTTCTTTCTGCTTTGCAGAGCAGCCACTCACTTGATATTTTCTGGACTCTTTGTGGCTCCAGGATGTACACCACATGAGGTGTGCTAACCAGGAAAATTTCACTCAGCCACATGCCCTCCAATGGCAGCAACCATTGTTCAAGTTCAGAAAAGCTAAGCTTAAGCAGCCGAAGGCATTTCATGCACATGTAGTCGCCAAAGGCACACTAAATATCCTGAAGTTGCCACATGGCACAGGATATATATGTAGTAAATATCAATTGTCCCATCATTTTTGTTCTATTAGCACCTGTTTCTCTGAAGATTATTTTACACCTTTTATTTATAATTCTAATGCATGGACCATTACCTACTATATAGTAAAACAAATCAATAAGCCTGGTTACGAGCATTCATGAGTTATGGATGCAGAGAGGAAGGGAAGAATGGGAGATGTGATATCTCAGGTGGGAATTGTAAACCCAGCTGGAGCACCCAGTAGGTTCCATTCAGATCCCTAGCTGCATGAGGGCCCAATCATGATGGAACAGTGGTGAGCACGTGGGATTTTAATTGCCAATATCAGGAGTCCTGATACAGTCCCAAGTTTGATGGGGGACTGGAAGGAAGTATTCTAGCAATGCTGTGAACATACTCATTTTCCACAGAAGCTATCTGCACCTCACTTCAATTATTAGACCCCTTTTCCCAGTCCTGTAAAACCTAGAAGTGGGTGAGAAGGATCAGGGTTAAAATCTTTTGAATTTTGACACCTAACTCACCTAACTGTCTGCAATAATATTCCTCCTATACCTATTGCTTCCCATATTGCACTCCATTTTCTTGTGTGTTACCTACAGAATAACTTCTCAGATTTCTTGTGTTTTCACAGCATTCTCTGACATAACTGGGTCAGCTGCTCTCATCCTTCAGTGTTTTTTCAAAGTTAATGTATTCCATTGAATTTTAACCATATTTCACATCTAAAATTTCCTAGTTAATTATCCACAATGACAATATCTTAATCAAGAAAGCTAAATATTAATACTTAAGTCTTATGTCACACTGCATTTGTACAATTGGTCATATACAATATAATGCGTTCAAAAAAACAAACTTACTGTGCCACATCAAGATTCATCACTTCTTTCAACTCTTGGTTTTGTCTGGTATGTTGTAACAACAAACTCTGCTGTAATTTTGGGAAATTACATTTTTCATGACATTCAACTTTCAGCTAATAGAAAGTATCACTCCGTTATGGTTCACCTACCTCACTTTTACTGCTATGACTGTAGCCAAACACTCTCTCCAAGAGTCCTTTGATCTTCTGGTCTGCAGCAGACTGGGAGGTGGTGTGTCTACCAGACCGCAGTGAAGCAATGATTTCATCAACAGATTTTGCCTTAGCTGTAAATGTTTGCTGTGCTGCAGTCACAGATTGCTCCGGCTTGCTCTGTTGGAAGTTTCTTTCATATATTTTTGGTGTGTCTGGCATTACTAGATATTTAGCCTCTTCTAGCAGTTCTGAAGCAGACCTCACACCTTGAGAATGAATGGAATGAGCATTATCTTCTTTATCAATTTGGACACCTGTAGAATCTGATGATATTTGTTCTGTTAGTGAAGGAGATTTGTTGAAATTTTCATTTTTATTATTTTGTTTGGGCACATCTGTAGCAAGGGTGCTTCTTCTTACATTACTTTTACTGCTGGTTTTAAGCTTATGATCATGCAATTTTACACTCAAAACAGAAACTTCTTTTTCAGGAACAGAAGGAGGTGTTTTTTGTGTAGAAGACTTCACTGTAGCAAAGAGTTTTGATAAATTAGGCTTTGGTGGTGGATTAGGCCTCTTTGACATAGACAGAGCTGCAGCAGTACCAGCAATTGGAGCTATTGCTGATTTGAAAACATCCCGTTTTCTACCATCTGGTTCATGCCATTCTTTGTCTCCCATCAATTTTTTGTTACTTGTTGCAAGTCTCTTGTCTATTTTCTTATTCTGTCTTAGAGAATCTGTTTTTGTAACTTCAGTTGGTACCAGAGAGTTATCGTCATTAATTGTTAAAAAATTGTCATGTTGCATATCCTCAGACATTTCCATAGGACTAGCAGTTATCGGATTGGATATCCCTTGTACAGGACTTTTTGCTTTTGGGAGCACAGCATTTGATGTCTGTCTCAAACGGAGAGAATCTGGTTGTGATTTCTTATGTCAACCATCCAGCTCATGTATTTCCTCAGAGTCATATGAAACCAAATACTTTTGCGTCTCAGACATTTCAGGAGTTTATGTTACAGATCTGTGGGGATGGAAACCATTCATTTAGTACAATCCTGCACATTGTCTGTGTTATTAGTGGACTTGTAAGATAACAACGTGATGAATGTACGACAGCTTCAAAACTAAACTAGACACAAAACCACATAAAAATTAATTGTCTTTAGCTTTTCTTATTCTACAAATTAAAATAAATTTCATACAAAGTTCAGCAAATAAAGGAAAGGAAAATTACAAGTATTTATCTGGATGAATTTGTCTTTTCTGGCATAATATTTCTGATAATTTTTGTTTACTTTTAATCACAGGAGGTTAGATACCATAAATGGAACAGAGGAAACAAGAAACAGGTGATTGCTGTGTTTTATTTGAAATTAATTGCATCTAGAAATTTAAATTCAATGCTTAATTTCCCTTTACTAAAAAATATTAACAAAATATGTCAAGGGATAAATCATAAATGTCCAAATTAGCTTTTAAAATCTAATTTCCAAACCAAAGTTAAGTTCAATGAATGTTTTATTTACTTGTATGCCGGTGACAATAGAAAACTAGCCAACCTTAGATAAAATGGATCTATAAGGCTGCAGATGCACCCCCTTTATGCTTGGACTTTGCACAGGAAAAGACTGAGGGAACTTCGCAGTCATTCATTGTGGGGCCTTCTTTTAAAAAATACTGTGAAACAAATAGCTCTGGGTATCTAGTGCCTGAGGTGTGAAGTCTTGACAGTGGTAGGTGAAGCATTAATGACAAAAAGTTATTAAGTAAATGTATCATTAAAATCAACAAAGGTATTCTTCAGACTGTCTCTGCTCACTGAGATGCTGGGAATAGTTTTTTTCTAATTTATGTTGCATGACTTGTGTTATGGTCTACTGCCCAGGACTATTGTATCATAAGCAGCCCCAAGCAATAATTCCATCCCCTTGGATAACTATTGAAAGCTTATAAAATGGTTCTGTTCCCAGTTCAGCAATTAAGTGGTTATGGCGCAATGCATCAAAAACTTTGAGTTCGCTATAAGTCCACCTGCCAGATGTATATAAATCCATTACATCAAATTCTAACAAAAACAAAGCTGCTGGAGAAGCTCAGCAGGTCTGGCAGCATCTGTGAAGGTAAAAACAGAGTTAACGTTTCGGGTCCGGTGACCCTTCCTCAGAACTGTTCTGAGGAAGGATCACCGGATCCGAAACGTTAACTCTGTTTTCTCCTCCACAGATGCTGCCAGACCTGCTGAGCTTCTCCAGGAACTTTGTTTTTGTTCCTGATTTACAGCATTCACAGTTTTTTCAGTTTTTACATCGAATTCTAAACTAGGAACAACTTCCATAGCTAGCCACAATAATTCAGGTGTTAATAATAGAAAGAATACCCAATAATATGTTCTATTCTCATGGCATTTGACTTTTGATATAGATAACTGTTTGTTCTTCAGGCTGAAACGTGGATAAATACCAAAGATTTGGGCCATCGTGGATTTTGATCTAAAGCGTTTCGTCAATCTTCTCAGTAAAGTAGGTATAAGCATACACCAGGTTAAGACCAAAGAACATTGTTATCCCAATAATTCTAGCCTTGATGAGGTCCAACAGCATTTAGGTTTCCTTGGAACATTTTACATAGAATATAGTTGGATCTGTGCAAGGCTACTGATTATGTACATTTATAATTCAATTCTTCCCGCAAATCAAGGGAAAGTTAAATGAAAAGACAACTATTGAGATGTAATCCAAAAACTGAAGCTGTTGTACCTTAAAATTGCAAGAATATAAGGTGCTGTGCACTGTGTACTGGAGCAGAGGAACACTGTGCTCCATTAGGATCAATTGGTTCAATAACGCAAGAGAAGGCAAGTAGATAGGTGATATGCATCTCCTCAAAGAGGGACAATCAAATTAAATTGTTTGCCCCAGCAGTTGACTATGTTGAAAATTTCCCCATAAGCGGCTAACTGTGTCATTGGCAGTGGTGGAGCAGCACATTGCCAATTCTGATAATTCAGGTGATTAGTTGGGCTAAAAGGAGAGGGAGAAGGTGTGTGGATTTATTCTCTGCACTAAATGTGAATGAAAGAAAAAGAAAAAATTGCCATGAAATGTAACAATTGGTGTGAACCAACGGAAATTAAGTACAGTTATTAGTCTAGGTCATGAATCCCCCAATTTATGGCAGGCTCATCATGCTTTAAAAAAATGCGTACAAAAGAAATAGATTCTTGATTCATCCTAAAGTGCCTAAATACAGAAGAATACTTTCTACACGGTCAGATTACAGTTTTGTCGATTTTGCGTTCATTGGCTTTTTTCACTATGTTGTCTGACCACATGGGGGCAGCTTTACTAGGATGCAGTAGAAATAAGTCACTTTTGATAGGCTGTAAAATTTTTGAAGGAAGTGGAGAAGTCATATCATTTTCACTTTTATCCTCTATATGTAGTGAATAATGACATTAAAGCTCTTAAAATGCTTTACATAATGAATTATGTTCAGACATGCAATGGCTGCTCTTCTGTAGATAGAAGATTTGAAATACAGTGAATAAACAGATGAAGAGGACATCCAGTAGATCGTATTCATGTGCCATACTGTACTATCTTAATCTTACTACACAGCCCTTTCTTGTGGCTTTTCCCTGCTTGATATTGCTCTGCACCTACAAAGTTGAAAAAGATGTGTTTTTATTAAGAGTCTCTATTTTACAGAGAAAGCTTTGTGCCAATCCATATTCACAAAGCTGCTCTGAAAGGCTGCTCACATTTTGACAATCATAACAAATCCCACCACAGCTTCTGAGACAATCCACAACATTCTCACAAAATCGGCAACAATCTCAACATGACAACTCACATTCTAAAATAAAGTTATTTTACCCTGTCTACCAATGTTAACAGATCTTTAAAAATGTAAATCAGAATTCACATCTTCATTAGAGCTAATGGTTTCTTCCTTGGACCACACACTTCCTATATTCCAAGTTTTGTGGAAATTCATCCATTATTTTTTAAAGATGTTATTTGCATACAGACTAATTGGTCAGGTCTTGGCACTGAAGAAAAAGATATTCGGTTACTAGGGGATATAAATGGATTGGTCAGATGGGCAGAACAATGACATATGGAATTTAACCCTGATAAATATGAGGTAATGCACTTGGAAGAAGGAACAAGACAAAGGAGTACTCAGTGAATTATAAGACACTGAGAAGATCAGAGGAACAGAGGAACCTTGGGGTGCTGTCCACAGATGCCTAAAGGTAGCAGGAAAAGTTAATAAGGTAGTTGTGGCTGAGTTTATAGGAACAGTTATGTCATGTTGGAGCTATACAGAACTATGGTTAGGCCACAGGTGGTGTGCTGTGTGCAGCTCTGGTCACTATACTACAGGAAGAATGTGACTGCACTGGATGGGGGTGCAAAGGAGATTCACCAGGATGTTGCCTGTGAAGAGAAGCTGGATAAGCTCAAGTTGTTTTCTTCAGGATAGAGGAAACTGAGGGGGCAACTGATAGAATTGTATAAAATAATGAAGGGGATAGACGGAGGGAAATAGAAAATAGGAGTTGAAGGGTCAAGAACAAGGGCTATTATTTTAAAGTGAACGGCCAGAGGTTTGGAGGGGATTTGAGGAAAAGCTTTTTCATCCAGAGGGAGGTGGGGCTCTGGAATGCTCTACCTGTGAGGGCAGTTAAGATGGGAAACCTCACAATTTTAAAAAGTACTTGGATGAGCACTTGAAGTGTCAACATTCAAAACTATAGGCCTAGTATGGGAAAGTGGGACCAGTGTAGAAAATAGCATATTTTGGTAGTACAGACTTGATGGGCTGAAGGACCTCTCCTGTACTATATGATTCTATGATTCTATAAGTGACAGAAGTGAAAACATTACCTCCACCCACCTTCAATGACAATAATTATATGGTAGAAATGGTTAATGCTGCAATAAGTAAATTGCTACCATTCCATGTATACTTCAAGCTATTAACTATATGTTTCAAAAATTGGCAAAAAAGCTATTTTATAACTCATTCAAAATCAGCTGGAAAACAATGAGAACAGAACATGCTGCTTTCTCTCCACAGATGCTGCCCGACCTGCTGAGTTTCTCCAGCAATTTCTGTATTCGTTCATTCAATCTGGGAGTATGGAAGTTGTGTGTGGGATTGTTATATGGTAAGAATAATAAACAAGCCTGAAATGATCCAAAGACGAGTAGTTGATTTTGTGCAAATCAGTGTGGGAAATACAGCGTCACATTTTTTACCAAAGCTTTGGAATGGGAATCATTATAGCAAAGGAGAGAGAAAAACTAACTGACCATGTTCTATAAAATATGGAATGGACTGGTGGGAATTGACAGAAAGAAGTACTTGGTGTCCTCCAGCAATGATGTATAACAACCATCTCTATGTTTTCATTATCAACAGGTCACGCCTATTTTACCTGGTGCTAAGTATATAACTGTCAGTGGAATACAGATTTTACAGGGTAGGAAGCAACAAAGTGAAGCCTGACCAATCCACCATCATCAGAATCACATGAAAGTCTATCTGGGCTGTAAAATACTCACCTGGACAAGTATTCAGGGAACGTTGGCAATAACTCCAAACAACTAGAAGCATGAGCAAATGTAAGGAAGTCTTTTTATTTATGTATCAATCTGGATTCCCCATTGTACCAATTTTGCTTTAAACCCCATCACTCCTCTATGCTATATTGGATTGATCTCCTGGTTCCCCATTGCTTCTGCCTATGGAACAATGTTTGATACCTGATGCAATTATGTCTATAAGATGGTTATACTTTGGAACTG